GCCGAGAGCCGAGAGCCGGCCCAACCACAGAGTCGGTCCAGTTCTCGAGGAACCTCCCTCCCAGGGGTCTCAGCGGAGGGGGAGCCCCCCTGCCCCCCGTGCTGGCCAGGACCTCCTCCTCCCCACCCTCCTCTGCAGCCTCTCCCTTCGGATTCACTCATTCCCACCCTGAGGTTCACCGAACCAGGTGGGGCTCGCTCTTAACCAGAGTGATGGGCACCTCGTTGGCACCCCCTCGAATACCCACCCTGTCCCCCGACCACGGTGAGCCCCCAAATGTAACCCGAGGACACGCAGAATGACGACGGCGTGAAGCACGGGTCTCACTGGTTCTAGATCGGGGCTCACGCGGCCTCACTTCCTGCTGTGCTCACGGGGCCAGGCCGTCCGAGGGGCCGCCCAGAGCCTTGCCCTGGAACCCGGCTGGGGCGGGGATGGCAGGGATCAGGGTGGGCGACGGCCAGGCCGAACCCCGTGGCTTTAGTCTTCTCATCTGCAAAACTCAGGGGCCCTCACCGATTCGGCCCAGTGGATAGAGCGAGGGCCTGCGGGCTGAAGGGTCCTGGGTTCAATTCCCGTCAAGGGCCCAGGCCCGGGTTGCAGGCTGCATCCCCAGTGTGGGCCGTGCAGGAGGCAGCCGATCCATGATGCTCTCTCATCATGGATATTCCTCTCTCTCTCTCTTCCCTCTCCCTTCCTTTCTGAAATCCATAAAAATCAAAATAAAAAAAATTAAGTAAAAAAAACTCAAGGGAAGGACCCGATCTTCCGTTTCCATCCAGCAAGAGCATTCTACACACGGGCCAGCGCTCCCAGTGTGGCTCCCGCCGCAGCCCTGGCCTGGCTGGCATCCCTGGGAGCCGCTGGCGTCTGGGCGGACTGGGGTTCCCCCAATTTCCCCCCAGATTAAAAGCACCAACAGGTTGCATGGCAAAAGCAAACAGAATCTGTGCTTCCTTTGAACAAATGAGCACGAAATTATGCTAAAGCTCTGTTGCCCTGTGCCGAGCCAACCGCCCGAGTGCCTGCCAACTCTCAGCTTCTCAAGTTCAAGTTCGCGGGGCTCGGCCTCTGCTGGAGAAAGCGGAGGCTCTGCAAGCCACGAACGGGCCTGGAACGCCCCTCGATTTCATGCGAACACACGGCGCTGTGTCAGAAATAGAGTCGCATTCATGAGCCCGAAATTCCCCAAGTTTCCTCTGAGTCCTGCCTTATTTTTTATTTTATTTTTTTTCACTTTATAGCCCTCAGGATGGAGGGCTGCCCGGATTCAAAGGGAAACTTCTGCTTTTTCAACGCGGGCCCTGTAATTTCACATCAAGAAAGAAACGGCTTTGATGTCTATTTCTGCCCATTAGCGAGTTTTATAAGCCGGGAGCCGGCAAACTGAGATGATGTTTCCCTCCGCTCCTGGGCGCTGGTATCATTTAGGAACGCGGGCCTGAAACGATGCAGAAAACACGCTAATGGCGGCAAACACAGCAACGATGAGACGAGATGGGCTTCCGGGGGGGGGGGGGCCCCTCCCAGGTCGGTGCTTAAACTCTACCCGGTTCTGCAAAGCCTTTCTGACGCTCAGAAAAGAATAAGGCGATATTCACGTCTATGATGATGCTGTGCGTTTTTATGGAAAAAAGGAAAGATGAACTTGTTGTTTTGGTCATTTAAAGGGGCGTCTTTTGCCCGGCCGGTGTGGCCCAGTGGTTGAGCGTCGTCCTGTGAACCAGGAGGTCACGGTTCAATTCCCGGTCAGGGCACAGGCCCGGGTTGCGGGCTTCATCCCCAGCCTGGGGCCTGTAGGAAGCGGCCGATCCATGATTCTCTCCTCACTGATGTTTCTCTCTCTCTCCCTCTCCCTTCCTCTCTGACATCAATGAAAGTACATTTGAGAACAAACACACACACAAAAACGTGCAAAGCTCTTGTCAGGAGCGTGGAGACTTTTTAAAAACACGCTTCCCGGCACACGCACTGTCCCGTTGGGGGGCCTGGCCGGCCGGCCTGTCTTCTCGGGCTCCCCGGCCTGCGGGAGCCCTTGGGCCGTCCAGGGCGCAGCACTTACCACGAAGCGTTCGCTGCTGAGCCGGGTACAGGGTTGCGCCTTGGGGTTTGGGGTGGGTGGCCAGCCCTGAGCTGGTGCATCGGGAGCCATCACTTTCCGTCCCGTCCGCCGGGCCAGTGGCCTCCTCTCTGCCCTCGGAACATCGCTGGGTCCTCGCAGCAGCTGCGCCATCGGGGGCTGCGCCTGTTCGCAGAGCCAGGTGCTGGGTGTTCACGCCGGGGGCCTCCAGCTCTCGCTCTGGCCCCTGAGTGTTTCTGAACGGCGTTCTCTTCCCCCCCGCGTTCCACCTGTTCCCTTCTTCCAGCGGTTCTCAACCTTGGCTGCACATTCGAATCACCTGGGAATCTTTTCAAAATCCTGATTCCTGGGCCTCATCCTCCGGAAATTCTGTTTCTCTGTTACTAATGTTGTGGCCCCACCCCATCACAAAAAACAGAATTTCCGGAGGACGAGGCCCAGAAATCAGGATTTTAGAAAGATTCCCAGGTGATTCTAATGTGCAGCCAAGGTTGGGAACCACTGGCTTATTCCCTTCTCTCGTCTTCTTTCCTTTCATGGTGGAGCAGAAACGGTTTTAGTAAAAACAAGAGACATAGACGCAGGGCCCTGGGTTCTCCGAAGAGAACGCTTCGTGGTAAGTGCTGGCCCTGAGCGGCCCAAGGGCTCCCGCAGGTCGGGGAGCCCGAGAAGACAGGCCGGCCGGCCAGGCCCCCCAGCGGGACAGTGGGGGCGCTGGGAAGCGTGTTTTTAAAAAGTCTCCACGCTCCTAACAAAAGCTCCGCACGTTTTGTGTGTGTGTTTGTTCTCAAATGTACGTTCGCACCAATGGAACGAGACTAAATTCGGAGCAAAAGCGTCATTCTTGGAGCGAGGGGTTGAGAGGCAAGCTCTCCTGCCGTCTCCCCGGCTGGGAGGGGCCTCCTGTATTTAGGGGCCGTGGCCACGGCGACTAAGATTTAAAAATAAATATTTTCTTTTTTATTGATTTGAGAGAGAGAACGAGAGGAGCGTCCGCCTGTGGGTCCACTTCCTTACGCATGACTGGCTGGCTCTTGCATGTGCCCCGGGCGAAGACTGAACCCCCAGCCTGGGGGCATCGGAACGACGCCCTCACCACCCACTGAGCTACTCGGCCGCCAAGGGGTGACTGAGTCCCTCCAGCTGCTTAGTGGTTCTTCTGCTGCCTCAGCCCTTCTGCTCACGGCCCCGTATTGCCCCAGAAGCCCCTCTGCCATCTTGGTTTGGCAACGGGCACCCTGGTCTGTGCACTGGGCACCCTGGTCTGTGCACGGGGCACCCTGGTCTGTGCACTGGGCACCCTGGTCTGTGCACGCGGCACCCTGGTCTGTGCACTGGGCACCCTGGTCTGTGCACGCGGCACCCTGGTCTGTGCACTGGGCACCCTGGTCTGTGCACGCGGCACCCTGGTCTGTGCACTGGGCACCCTGGTCTGTGCACGCGGCACCCTGGTCTGTGCACTTGTGCACCTGGTCTGTGCACTCGGCACCCTGGTCTGTGCACTCGGCACCCTGGTCTGTGCACTGGGCACCCTGGTCCCCTGGTCTGGCACCCTGGTCTGTGCACTGGGCACCCTGGTCTGTGCACGCGGCACCCTGGTCTGTGCACTGGGCACCCTGGTCTGTGCACGCGGCACCCTGGTCTGTGCACTGGGCACCCTGGTCTGTGCACGCGGCACCCTGGTCTGTGCACTGGGCACCCTGGTCTGTGCACGCGGCACCCTGGTCTGTGCACTGGGCACCCTGGTCTGTGCACGCGGCACCCTGGTCTGTGCACTGGGCACCCTGGTCTGTGCACGCGGCACCCTGGTCTGTGCACTGGGCACCCTGGTCTGTGCACGCGGCACCCTGGTCTGTGCACTGGGCACCCTGGTCTGTGCACGCGGCACCCTGGTCTGTGCACTGGGCACCCTGGTCTGTGCACGCGGCACCCTGGTCTGTGCACTGGGCACCCTGGTCTGTGCACGCGGCACCCTGGTCTGTGCACTGGGCACCCTGGTCTGTGCACGCGGCACCCTGGTCTGTGCACTGGGCACCCTGGTCTGTGCACGCGGCACCCTGGTCTGTGCACTGGGCACCCTGGTCTGTGCACGCGGCACCCTGGTCTGTGCACTGGGCACCCTGGTCTGTGCACGCGGCACCCTGGTCTGTGCACTGGGCACCCTGGTCTGTGCACGCGGCACCCTGGTCTGTGCACTGGGCACCCTGGTCTGTGCACGCGGCACCCTGGTCTGTGCACTGGGCACCCTGGTCTGTGCACGCGGCACCCTGGTCTGTGCACTGGGCACCCTGGTCTGTGCACGCGGCACCCTGGTCTGTGCACTGGGCACCCTGGTCTGTGCACGCGGCACCCTGGTCTGTGCACTCAGCACCCTGGTCTGTGCACTGGGCACCCTGGTCTGTGCACGCGGCACCCTGGTCTGTGCACTCAGCACCCTGGTCTGTGCACTGGGCACCCTGGTCTGTGCACGCGGCACCCTGGTCTGTGCACTCAGCACCCTGGTCTGTGCACTGGGCACCCTGGTCTGTGCACGCGGCACCCTGGTCTGTGCACTCAGCACCCTGGTCTGTGCACTGGGCACCCTGGTCTGTGCACGCGGCACCCTGGTCTGTGCACTCAGCACCCTGGTCTGTGCACTGGGCACCCTGGTCTGTGCACGCGGCACCCTGGTCTGTGCACTCAGCACCCTGGTCTGTGCACTGGGCACCCTGGTCTGTGCACGCGGCACCCTGGTCTGTGCACTCAGCACCCTGGTCTGTGCACTGGGCACCCTGGTCTGTGCACGCGGCACCCTGGTCTGTGCACTCAGCACCCTGGTCTGTGCACTGGGCACCCTGGTCTGTGCACGCGGCACCCTGGTCTGTGCACTCAGCACCCTGGTCTGTGCACTGGGCACCCTGGTCTGTGCACGCGGTTAGTTAAAAATACCAATTTGACCGCTAAGGAAATGGCCGCTGTTCTTGCTGGCTGGCTATAATTTATAATCTTACGAAAAGAAAAGAAAAATCTGTTTCCAACAAGGAATTTTTCTTACCTTAAGTTCCAGGGCAATGCTGGGTTTTAAAGTCAGCATCTAAGAGAAGAATCATTCACAGCCAAAAATAACCCTAGAAAATCCTTTAAACTCTTGTAAAGTTCAAAGCACGCGTTTCATTTGTGGTCCATGGCGGGGAAAAGAATTAGAACCATTCCCCAAACCTTTCCATCCCCCCTTCCCCCCCCGACTTGCATTACCTTTGCGGGGTTCATTGTACCTGTTGTTTCGCATAAAGAGTCAACCCATCAGCCCGGCCGGCTTAGCTCCATGGCTGAGCATCCAGCTATGAACCAGGAGGTCAGGGTTCGATTCCTCATCAGGATTTCACACAAAGCCTGCGTGTGTGAAAAATTATTTAACTGGGATTCTAACGTAACCAGCGAGGCCTGGCCAGTGTGGCTCAGTGGTCGAGTGTCGACCTATGAAGCAGGAGGTCAGGGTTTGTTTGATTCTCGGTCAGGGCACAGGCCCAGATTGTGGGCACCATCCCCAGTGTGGGGGCCGTGCAGGAGGCAGCCGATCCATGATTCCCTCTCATCACTGATGTTTCTCTCTCTCTCTCTCCCTCTCCCTTCCTCTCTGAAATCAATAAAAATTATTTTTTAAAAAGAGAATCAACTCATTGCGTGTGGAGCTCTGAGAATAAACCCTCGGTGTCACTGACTCTCAGATGCCCGTCTGCCTCCTCCTTCAACCCCTGCGACAGCCCCGAGGTCGCTAACTTAGACGGTTATGCGGTGGATCCGCCACAAAACGTCAACCTTTTCTCCCAAAGTTCTCTCTCTCTCTCTCTCTCTCTCTCTCTCTCTCTCTCTTTATAACACACAGAAATGCAGAGAATTATCATTCCTCTTTGTCTAAACGCAGGACTTTTTCCTCAAACTCCGCACACGCGATAGAAAATGAGGAAATAAACCCGGGGGACCACAGGACCACCCTCTTCCTGACACTCTCCGTCCGGACGACGGTCCTCTGAGCCGGAGGAAACGGGGCCACAGTTGCATTCATTGTTCAGTGAGCTTGTCCGCACCGCTCAACCCACCGACAGCAATGAATGTTGATTGTGACCTTTGACCACCTCGTCTCTGCCCGGGGGAGGGGGCGCCCCGGCGGGCCCGGCTTGGGTGTCCTGTGGCCGGCGGATTCGGAAGCCGTCGAGCAGGTAGGTAGGTAGGTAGGTTGGTTGGTTGGTTGGCAGGTGATGGTTAGCCATAGGGTACAATCAACGGTCGATGGTTTTGACTTTAATTCCAAACTCACCGACAGCGTTGAATGTTCACTGAAGCAAACCTCAAACTCAGGATCCGGCTGACTTTCCCGTCCCTGCAGGTGTCGGGAGGGGAGGGGGTGGGGACAAACAGCAGAGTAGCTTTAAGCCATTTCCAAAGGGAATAAGAACATCCCGGCCGGCGTGGCTCAGTGGTTGAGTGTCAACTTATGAACCAGGAGGTCAGGGTTCGATTCCCGGTCAGGGCACATGCCCGGGTTGTGGGCTCCATCCCCAGTGGGGGGTGTGCAGGAGGCAGCCGGTCCGTGATTCTCTCTCATCATTGACGTTTCTCTCTCCCTCTCCCTTCTTCTCTGAGATCAATAAATAAAT